GAAAATGTTTAACGGGGTTCCCCCAGTTAAATTTGGATGTAACTTTTCGAGTAGATGATTTTTCATATAAAAAACTTTTTCATCCGAGTTAGTATGCAAAAGTTATGCCCATTTTTACAAATTTCAGAGAGATTTTGCGACTAAAGGCCTTTGGGCACCTTTAGTCGCGGTTGGCCTGGCCAACCGCGACTAAAGCCCGCGAGCGCCCTGGGCCCAGGCATTTGGTCGCGGTTCATCTGCCGAACCGCGACTAAAGACTTCATTAGTCGCGGTTCCTACAGTTTCGCGACTAATGGGGCTGGACGGAAGCCTCTTTTTCTACTAGTGATGCGTCCCACTCATGCGAATGCAATGATTCAATGGATCTCTCTTGCTGTGATCAGAAATCTCCCCTTGGACCCATCAGATTGCGGTTCCACGAATACGTACATTTGATCAATATATGCTTCCAGCATGCCGTGTGTACTGCCCATGGCAGTGACTGATTACGTACACGTACGGCCGTGTCGCCTTGGTGTGTACGCCCTTGTACTACGTACATATACACTCGTTGTCAGGCCAGTGCCGGTCCATTTCAATCATAAATAATGCATGTTCAGCAACTTACACACAAGTTGTGCATCCCAATTTGCCTTTTCCTTTTCCATCCAATTCATTACATGTCAATACCACAAGTCTGACAACAAGCAGGGGTGCACTTGGCCACCAAAATTGGCTTACACATATCACAAAAAAATTAACCATACGAGCAGACCATGTTAATTTGGATCCCCATTTGACCTTATATGTGCAGCACACATTATGAACACACATAATCTGGAATTAGTCAGATAAGTTACTGCCATACAAAATACATTTATCACAATATATTTATCAAATTGGTACAGCTGAAATGGAACATCCAATACTGTCATAGAACACACACGTACGTCGGTGCTTACTTGCTCTCGCTCTCTGGAAAAGGGGAAAACACAAATTAGTACTTACACCGCTCCACTAAAGTGATCGAACCAAAGCAGCACAGTAGTCGGTTTTGTTAGCTTGTGCCCATGCGTGCAATGCCGACCCATTACAAAAATCTCAACCTAGTCCACGTACCCTGCTGCCCTGCAAGAAACCGCGACGCTGTTGCACATGCTACATGCATATATCCTCAGGTGCACTGCACATTGCGAGAGCGACGTGCTAGGCAATTTCCTCCCGTCGCATTGACGGACTCGACTTTTTTTAAGGGTGTGCCCGGGCACATCATCGAATATGAGGTGCTTCGGTTAATTGGTCATCAACCATGATTTTCTTAGCCAACAAGACTTGCATATTTCGGTTAGGCACCAACTCACTTCCACTGCCAGTAGGTATGAACGGTACAGGTATTCATACCGGCTAGAGAGAGGATAATGGGCGGTGTGGTAGCCGTATATATACATGTGCTATAATCTGGCTTACTTCATGTCCTGAGCGACGTTGCTCCCAGTTGGTTCTTGGATACTGGCCAGCTGGTTCGGACGAGCTTCGTCCATGGCTTATGCAGGTTTGGATAAAGACAAAGTGCATGCAGCAACGACGTCCCTCGCGAGTCTTGACAGTCGACACGGTTATGCCTGTTCAAACTGAAGCCAGTCAACTCGAGATACATGCAGCCCGTCCACGTCCACGTCCATGTCCTGGGCATGCAGGTCAACGACCAAGTCTTCACCATCCATGCGTGCAAGATACTGAGTATTTTCACGGGCAAGCATCCAAATCATGCATGTAATTACTCACGCGGCAAGGTAATTACTAGCACTAGTTTTTAGGGGCCCACAGGTGATCGAGCATTTGGTTTACTTAAGATAGGACCAAAGCTGCGCACTCGGTAAGTAAACTACGCCGTGCGGTGTCATCACAATTGCTTTTCAGTGGAAGCAAACAAAATGGCGGTTTGTCTGCCATACCCCCACCAACTTGGCACCCACGCTACCGCGTCGTAAACCTATATATAACCACGCCGCCCCGTCGGATCAACATTCTTTCCCGCTTCTTCTCTCACACGACAGCAAGTTAAGCTGGGGAAGCCCACGAAGGACGGGAAATCGAGGGATCAAAATCCACAAACCAATCCACTGAGGCTGGGATGAAGCGCGCGAGGGAGGAGGAACCAAAACCAACCATGTCGCTGGCGCTGTCCCTGGGCACGGACTCGGCGCCTTCCGCCGGGACGTCTTCCGACTCGGGCGCCGGTGCGCCGGCCAAGCGCAGGAGGGGCGCCGTGGTGGCGACGTCGGGGGAGGGGGAGTTCGTGTGCAAGACGTGCGGCCGGACCTTCGCGACGTTCCAGGCGCTGGGCGGGCACCGGACCAGCCACCTCCGCGGCCGCCACGGGCTGGAGCTCGGCGTCGGCGTCGCCAGAGCCATCAAGGAACGGAAAAAGCGCGAGGAGAAACAACACGAGTGCCACATCTGCGGGCTCGGCTTCGAGATGGGACAGGCGCTCGGAGGGCACATGAGGCGGCACCGTGAGCAGATGGCGCCGCGCGGCGCCGACGATCGCTGGGTCGCGCTGCTGCCGGATCAGGAGGTGGCGGGGCACCATGCCGCCGCCGACCAGCCGCCGCCCGTCTTGCTCCAGCTGTTCGTCTAGGCTGGAAAGAAGGAGATACGCTTCGTTTCCTAATGCGTGAATTAATGGACATGTAAATATGGCGTATATAGGTTCATTGGGCGATCTTGTATTACGAATTCATAGCTATAGCTAGCTTGTTAGAGTTTCGGTCATTGGAAATTTTGCTCGGTCTGGATCGTCGTCCATTCATTGGTTTCACTCGAAACTAAGAAAATTATTTTGTATATTCCACCATCCGGCTCCTGCGAATGCAATGATTATATTGAATGAAACTTCCCGGCCGGCCGGGGTGGTTCCGTTTTAGCTCGTCGGAAGCGGCAGCGGCCACGGCATTGACTGACTACGTACGTACCCATACACTGGAGTAGTGGTCAGGTCAGTGCCGGCCTGTTTCGCACGCGTGCAGCTGGCCAACTAGGCAAGCACTAATTAAGGTGGCCGGCCTATTCATTCAAACGGGACGAATGGTATATTGTGGCGGTACGATAAGCATTTGACCAACTGATGGCAAGTTGCAGATTCCCTTCAAGATATTGGCAAGTGGCACATTGTGCTCGATCCCTCCCTTTTCATTCCTACGAAGTACTCTCTCCGTTCCAAATTACTCGTCGCTGAAATGGATGTATTTAGAACTAAAATACATCTAGATACATCCATACGTGCGACAAGTAATTCGGAACGGAGGGAGTACATACACAATGAGAACGTAGCGGTACGTGCTCAATTTATGCCTCGAGTACGTACGTAGTCGTGCTCTGCATGACTGCTAGGTAAGCTGCTTGCACAACTAGATATATGCTAGACAGGTTCGGACAAGTTTCGTTGTGAGTGATCCGATAATTACAGGAATGACGGACGTCTCTATCCAAACTATATGCCTGAGTCTGGACAGTTGACGCGGTTAAGCTTGTCATTGGCCGCGTAAAAGCTAATGTCGACATGTCGACGTCCTGGGCATACATCCAACCTGGTCAAAGACGCAGAGTCCTGACCCATGCATATATATATATCCAGGTTTAACAGTTTTGGATCGATTAGACGACAAGTATCTTTACCTGGTAAGTGTGAAATTACAGTTTGTAGTCACACGGTAAGGTAATAAAACTACGTACTATAATTGTTTATTGGGAGAGACGGTGGAGTACTGGTATACTACAAGCTATGCATGCACCCGATAAATGACGCGGCAGAGTACGGTGCCATCATCGATCAATGGACGATGAATCCATAACATCCCATGCCGACAATTGCTCCGAGAACATCTGGACATAGCTGGATAAGCCATATTCGTGTGTCTTGGCCTATGAGAAAACACCGTACGTTCACTGTCCATCTTCTGACAGAGACTGTCTAGACTAGAAGTACATCGACCGATGCATCGCTTCTGGTCAGGGCGGTGCGGTGCGCCGTGTGCGGCGACGTCGGTGCATACGTTCTCCCTCCCATGGAACCTCTCCTCGCTACGCCTACACATGCCTTCTCTCCCCAAGTATACCACTGATTAAACAAGTTCATCCACGAAGAACGAGTGATTAGACTAGCACGTAATGGATTACGTTAGCCTGTGCACATGCTGTAGATCCACTACAAAATCCCAAACCGAATGCATCTTGCTTCGTGGTAGCTAGTGCTTGGTGACTAACATGCGTCCTGCTTCCGGTCCTTGGTTTCGATAGGTGGTGGTCAGGACCGCTTCATGGTCGTCCCCTGCAAGAAATTGCGACGCTGCTGCACATACTGACATGCACCGTCAGGTGCAGAAAGAGCACCTCGCGCTCGAGAGCGACGCGCCAGGCAATTTCCGCTCTTCCCACGAAACCATGATAGTACTATTTCGAGTGTCTGTTGAGCACATGATTGGATTCCGAGGTGCTTAGATTGGTCATCAAGCAAGATTTTCTTAGCCAACAAGACTCACACAGAAGCGCGCTTAATTTAATTTGCACTGACTAAGAAGCGTGCAAACCTTGTGCTAGGACACAAACTCTGCATGCAGTGGGCAAATTATGCGGTACGGTGGTGCCACCATCGAGCAATCGATCCATAATACCAGTCCTTGTGTTTCTGGAACGGAACGGAGTACTGCGTTACGTTACTGCTGAAGACATGCATGACTCGGGTAAAACAGTGGGCGTAATTAACTGTCATGTTGCAACACTGTTTACCCATGTGCTGACAGAGACTAACTAGCACATATATATACCAACCAATAGATACATCGGCTCTCTGGTCCTATCTAGATGCATGCGAGGCGACGTCGGTGCTTACGTGCTCTACCTTTCATGGAAAAGCAGAGCTCAGCACAACACAAATGCCTTTTCCTAAGTAGTACCTGTACTAAGTAAACAACTACACGATGAAAAAGTAACCAAACAACTGAATGAATAAGCAATTCTCAAAAAAAAAAACTGAATGAATAAGCAGACGTAACCAAACGACTGAAGCAGTGCGTAATCCATTGCTTTGTGTTGCTTCTGCACTGCATGCTTGGTCGCCGGTAGGCACATCTTGCTTTTAGTCGTCGATAGGCGGTCTGCTTCCTTGCCCAACAAGAAATTGCGACGCTGTTGCACATGCATCATCAATCACAATGCGAGTGTGACGCACTAGCCAGTTTCATCATCAACAGACTCGGCCTCAAAACCTTAGGATTTCTTTACGACAAACTATTTCATACACGTTTACGATAAACTATTTTAAAGTATATATGTTGGGCACAAAGATGTAGGCAAGATTTGCTTCACCGTGAAGGCTTAGTGTGTCACAAATTTACATTCACATAGGCATCAATTCACATTACACTACCAACAAGTAGGAACGGTAGATGTATTCATACCAGCAAAAGAGAAGGGAAATGGCTTCAAAAATTCACATAGAGATGATTCGCAACCACCAGATAAAGCAGTACGAAATTTAACCCAGCAAATGGACAAAGTACCTTCTATTTCTACTCAAGTATAACCTATAGGATGACGACCATTCCAAAATGCCGTAGAAGATGAGAAGCCATGTTATAAGGCCAAAACTTGAGATTTGAAGCCAATTCCGTTGAATACAAATGTACCATTCAGCGGCACAAACTGCTTGGTCACCATCTGAAGAAGGGGGGGACAACACGTCAGTAAGATAAAGTGCGCCCACACAAGATACTACCAACATACCCGCGGTTGATAAATTTCAGTGAAGAAAGGACACCATACCTTGAATAGTTCCTGGGAGGCCACTACGCCAATAAAGGCAGCGGCAGGTTGAATCTCTGCACCCGCAAAATGGCACACTTGAGTAACCAGGTCTTCAGACAAGGATGCTCCCTTCAAACCCATGTCACTCAGCACCGAGACAGCAGCCGCCTTCAGCCTAGGAACATCCTCAACAATCTCACTAGTGAACCTAGTGCTATATCAGTATTATAAAAACAGGATCAACATTAAAAGCATGACATAGTGATTATCACCATAAGTTGGTGCTTCAAATCACTTAGGTGAGTTTCGCTTGGTATGATATTTAAAGTTGCCATATAAATGTCAATAAAATATACTATTTTACTGCCATCTTAATGTAACTTGTTACAAAGTCATCATGTCATATGAAAAAGTTAAAGATGTCATTTATAAATAAAGTTGTGGGTAAAAATGAAAATAAATGTGTATGTCACCACAGTTGCCATCCAAGAAAAATAAAGTAAATGCATTAACAAGATGACAAGTTGCCATCTAACTGACAATGAAGCACACAATTCATACAACACCAAAGTGTGGAATGTGTTCATCTGGTATGATAGTGAAAAGTTGTCATCCAGAATTTCACAGTGCACATTAAGATTGCCATCCAAAAGCAAGTAAATGCATCAACGTTTTCATTGCGTACTAAAATGAAAGTTGCCATACGGATATCAGCTAAGTACAGAAAATTCATCTGGTGTGACAATGAAGAGTTGCCATCCAAAATTGTACAGTGCACATTAAAATTGACATCAAAGCAAGTAAATGCATCAACCGAGACTTGTGGTCATTGCGTACTAAAATGAAAGTTGATATCAGCTAAGTACAGAAAATCCATGCATCATACTTTGGGATGAGCTACAAACGGATGATGACAATGAAAAGGTTGCCATCCATAACAATATGGTCGGCACTAAAATTGCCATACAGATCCAGTTAGTTGAGTAAAATGTTGTATCGAAATTGGCATTGTGTTTGCTAACAAATCCACAAAGTCCTAAATCTCTACATCAACCAACAGGTCTCTAGCAACCAACCCCGCTGGATGTAACCATACCACACTGGATCTAACAGTGACAACGTCGATTTGAACCAAATAACTTAACAAATTAACATCACAACGACTGCTGAAAAGGAATATTACAACTAGCAGATGCCCGCGCAATAAAATAAGGTAAACCACGGTGCATTTCTACCATCAACGACCACCCACAAAAGACCACGCAAGCCAGCAGCAACTGCCACGACACAAACCCCATGGGACAATCAAAATTGCACGGCACGGGATTCAGCATAAGCGCGCGACAAATTGGCGGTGGTACCGACTAACCTCTACGGGTAGAAGAAGCTTCCACAGTTGATGGAGATGATTTTCCCGACGAGCAATGCCCGTGTTTATGCGACTTTGCGACAAGCCCCCGGCAACCTTCAGCGCCTCACAGACGACAAGACCGGCCGGCAGAAGATCTTCGCACCGGATGAAAAGAGAACAAAATTCGTGGCAGAATCACGAGCCCCAGCCAACAAAAACGGCGTACGGAGGAGATATCCATCGACTCCCAACCCCTTGTCGATGAGCCGCCAGAGACACGGATAGAAGGGGTGGTTGGATTAGAGCGCTAGAGCGGGCGGATAAGAATGAGTGGGAAGGTGAATGGGAGCAGGAGGGGGAGGGAAGGGGAAATGGGAGCCTGCTCCGGTGGTTTCGCCGTAGTGGACGCCAACTGCCCGATGAAGTGGACGCAAGGGGGTGTGGGGAGGCATTCATGGCGAGGGGCCGTTAGCCCGAACGGCGGTGGCTGTCCTACGTGGCAACAATCGGACGCCAAGATTCGTGCAAAGTTGACGAACTGCTCCTCGCGTGGTAGGCCCGAAAACGCAAAAAAAGGCACGTTCGGATGTTATTGATTCCCTAATGAATTCGCCCTCCCAATATAGCAATGAGTTGCACGATTTGTGTGGCAACAAAGGTGTCAAAGACTAGCCAACCTGATAGTGCATCGTGGGCATTTCTAATTGATCCCCAATAACTAGTTAGAGGAGTAAAATCCCGGTTATACCTCTATACTCGGCTGCTGCGAATCTCCCTATATTTACTCCACCGCTCGACGACCGAGTAAAAAATCTCGCTCTCTCTTC